ACATCTTGCAGACCTCCCCAGGCCAGGCCCTTCGCGGGGCTTGCGGATGCTCCCAGGTGCCCACGAATGAGTGGGTGGTGTTCCTGTTTTACCCCTAAGGGTGGAGAGGTTAAGCCCTGGTTGAGTCATTCAGTGATGTGAGGGCTGTGAGCCCAGGTCTGCCTGACTCGTGTCCTGTTGGCCCTTGTCACAGCCCTGGCAGGGTGTGGGAGAAGCCTTGTGTGGAGCCGGCAGGGGGCTCCTCATAGTGGCTCGGCTCAGGGGAGGCGAGGCCAAGGAAACCAAAAGTATATGTTTGTTCCTCACTCATGCTGATTCCTCTGCCTGGTACTGTCTCCCCCACTGGCTACGCCCCTCTCTTCATTCCCATTTGAGCTTAAATGTCACCTCCCTGCGGCCAGTCACCTACTCTGACTCACCCTTTGCCTCCACCCTCTCCTGGTGACACTGAGTCATCCCTGGGGTAACTGTCAGTGTCGATCTGTGAATAAAGTCCCCTGCAGAGCGCTGTGCCTGACTTGTACTTGGCACTCGGAGACGTGGGTGCGTGTCTCAGGGACATGGCAGGGCACCGCTGGCCCGGAAACCCCGGTGGGTTCTGCTGCCAGGCTTTTCCAGGCTCTGTGGCCTGTGAACCAAGGTGATGGCTGAACGCTTTGACTGTAGTTGGGTAGTCCTGGGATCAAATCCTGCATTGTCAGTTACTGGGGATGTGGTGGTCTGGGGGCCTGTTGGAGAGAGAGGTTGCTGTCTGAGGCTGTGTGAGAAGCAGATGATGCCCCATTTGTGCTGACCCTCTCCCCTCAGGCCCCAGTCTGGCAGTTAACCTGTGATCCTGGGGTCCCCTTCCTCAGCTGTCCAACGCGGCCATTCCTGTTAGATGGGATGATGGGGCAGCAGATACCGTCTCTCACGCCGCCCCTTCCCTTCCGTGGCCACCCCTTCCTGAACACGGGCTCTGCCAGGCGGCCTGTGGGGGGACAGGGAGCTGCGCAGGGCCGTGGAATTTGTCATTGCCATCCCAGATCCTGCTGAGCAGCTGCGAGAGGCTGGGTGAGTGCTCCCCGAGGCTCCACTCACTCCCAGGGCACAAAGCATTTCCCTGTTAAGGGGGTGCTGAATTTTTCAGTGTGGTAATCCCCCCCACCCCGGCACAGAAAGAACTTGGGCTGAAGACCAGCTCCCCACTTAGGAAGCTGAGGACCCCAAGTTGGTGTCTCAGGCTGGTATGGTGAGAGTGAAGTGTGTGGCACTGGGAACCCACTGCTCGGGTTCAAGTCCCTGTTCTGCTGTGCGTGCGGTGGGCCTCTGGCCAGGGTCTTAGCCTCAGCTCCCGGGGTCTGTGAATGTGGGATTGTCCTAATGGTAGTAGCTGTCCCAGACAGTTGCTGGAAGGACTGGCGTGATCGTGGGTCTCTGGCCCTTGGAGCAGCACCACTAAAGTGCTGGGAGTGCTGTCTGGCACAGGGGAAGCGTGATACGAGCCTTAGATGCTGTTATTGTTACTGTTAACATTGTTGTTGTTGTTAGTGGTAAAGAAAGGGTCTCTGCAGCCAGGCAGCCCTGAGCGGAAGGCCAGCTGTTTCCTAAGGGGGTGACACCAGGCAGTTAACCTCGCTTTTCATCTGTAAAATGGGCTCTGGGGCCAGTTTGAGAAGACTGTTGTGAGGGTCGATTGACTGGCCAGAGGTCAGGGAGGTAATGGCAGAGGAAGGAGCCCCCCAAAGCCACAGAACAAGGGGAGGGGGCAGCGCTGGAAGCAGAGGCAAGGAGTAGCCTCCCCTCTGCTTGACCTCACCCCTACCTTGTGTTTTTTCATTTTTTATTACTTTTTTTTTTTTTGGTTTTATAACACTTACACAAGCATGTCCTTTTTATGAAAATACAATCACTTTGTGATACAAAGTAAAAACAAGAGCTCTGCTCCTCCTCCTATCCCCTCCCTAAAGGCCGGTCCTGTCCCTGATACCCATGTTGACCTGCCTGCTTGTGTTCACCTGTCTGTCTGCCCTGCAGGGAGGAGGTGCAGGAGAACTGCGTGCGGTGGCGGAAGAGGTTCACCTTCGTGTGTAAGATGAGTGCCAACCCGGCCACCGGCCTGCTGGACCCCTGCATCTTCCGCGTGTCGGTGCGCAAGGTGAGGCTGGGCTTTGGGGCTGGGGCTGGGGGCTGCGGGCCCAAGGCCAACGCAGGGGTGTGAGGCCACTGATCCAGTGGCTTTAGCCCCATCTCCTGACCTGTCCCCTCCAGAGGGCAAGGAGTGAGTCACTCTGCTCCTTGGCTTGACTTACCCCCAGCAGTCAGATTCGGGGTGAGGGGAGTGCTGGGGATGCATGAGGTCCCTTGGATTCCCTAGTCACACTGCTGCTTCTGTCTGTCTCTCTGCAGGAGCTGAAAGGCGGGAAGGCTTATTCCAAGGTGAGTGGGGCTGTGAAGGGATAGTGGGATACAGTAGGCATGAGAGAAGAGCTTCAGCCCCGTTTCTGCACCAAGTAGGAGACACTCAGCTCTGCAGGAGATGTATTCTTTCTTAGAAATATCTCTACTGATAGGCTTTGCACTTAATACAAAGCTACCATATGCTTGTTGTAACACAAATGGTACAGAAGTTCAGAGTGAGGGATGCCGGGGTGGCTCAGTCGTTAAGCGTCTGCCTTCAGCTCGGGTCATGATCCCAGGGTCCTGGGATTGAGCCCCGCATCGGGCTCCCTGCTCAGTGGGGAGTCTGCTTCTCTCTCTCTCTCCCCCGCTGCTTGTGTTCTTTCTCTCGCTGTGTCTCTCTCTCTGTCAAATAAATAAATACAATATTTAAAAAAAAAAAAAAAAGTTCAGAGTGAGAAGTGCAGT